CATGGATAATCCGTGTTTTGAAACAAAAAATATATTTAAAAATTGTGTTTACCTGTTGAATTTCCATCATTTAAAATTCAAAAGTTATAAGAGGTTTGCAATGGAATACTTGCCTCTGCTTCTTTCTGTAGCCCTGACCCCTCCCTGACCGCCAGCCAGTCAGTGTTACCAGTTCCTTGTGTAGCCGAGTACATACATGTTTATTCCCCCCCACCTCCTTTTTATACAAACAGAAATAAGCCATGTGTAATATTCTGCTCCTTGCATTTTTCTCACTTTCTTATTCCTTTTTTAATTGAGTGGATATAACTTATTTAACAAGTGCATGATTAATTGGCATGCAGTTTTTTCAACCTTTTGCTATGGTAGTGCTGCAATTAATAACTTGTGTTTATGTCACTTTATACACGTGTAGTATACGTGCTGGCGGGGACGTTGCCGAGTCAAAGAGAATGTACATTATCAGCTTGATTGACACCAAATGGCCCTCTGGGAGCTCAGAGCAGTGTCCAGCCCCAGCTAGTAGTAGATGGGGCGACCTGTCTCTGTGCCTCCCACACACTGTGCTGTCCAGCCTGGGGACCTTGACTGTCTGATTGGTGCAGAAGTGATTTCAGTGCGATCTTAGGGGATGGTTTGATCTTGAAAAACAACAGAACGTAACACACGTGCTACTGTTGCCTTTGCGGTGATGGCCTAGTGTGGTGTTTTCAACCTCCTGGAGTGGCAGAGGAACTGAAATTGATTTTTGTTACCTACTTATTACTGAACTAGTTAAAATATTAAAAAGCAAATTGATGTAATCTTTTTAAAAAATAAGTACCACATAGGTGATATGACCTGCTGAATGAATCGTTAGAAACTGTGTGCCCTTTGCTTTTATTTATGATGGAATATCCTCGCTAATCTTGTTATGGCGTACAGGACTTACGATCACAGAATCACTGAAGTGTAGCACCAGCAACTTAAGTGAGGTCAGCAGTATTTGTCCCCTGCGACCTGTCTGAGTAGGTCTTTACCAGCCCTGGTCTTGGTGGAGTTCTGCTGCGTTTGCCACATTCACCAGATACAAATGTCAGCATTTGGAAAAGGTGAAGCATAGATCAAAGTTCTAAGTTGGAGGGCTTTTGGAGATCCACTTGACCAATTCCCCCCCCCCCCACTTTTTAAACATCAATGTGTGGTTGCCTCTCATGTGCCCCCACTTGGGGCCTAGCCTGCAACCCAGGCATGTGCCCTGACTGGGAATCAAACCGGCGACCCTATGGTTCATAGGCCAACACTCAATCCACTGAGCCATACTCAGGGCTCAACCAATTTTCTTTTCACTGGGAAGTCATGCAGAAGAACTTGCATATGGAGCTTGCCTTGAACAAAGGGATACAGTGTTTAGGTTTTTAGATTCCAGGACTGCTGCAGGCGAATCAGGTATGGTTTCAGGCACAGGAGGTGTGTCCTATGGGCTTTATAGACAATAGTGGACTGGGCTGGGTGTATGTGGCAGGGTCAGGACAAGGAAGGATTACATCAGTTTGCTTTTCAATATTCTGGTTTGTCGACAGAGGATTAAGTTAATTTATTTGTCAACATAATGTGGTCTACCACACAATGAAAACACCAAGAAAAACATATTACGAGTAGTCAAAACAGGACCGAGTATCTCAGCGCACACAAGCTCCCCTGGAGTCGTGCCCGCTCACCCTGCGAGACGGGAAGCTGGGACTGGAACAGACCCCTGTCGGTCATGGCCGACTGAGCGATCCGCCTGCCTGGTCAGCCCTCCTGGAGCTCACCATGTGCCCCCACAGCTTTGAAACAGAAAATACCGAGTTCTAAACATCAAAACACAGTGCAAACTCCTTTATCTAGCAGGTGGGGGTGCCAGTTAGGCCCCAGTCTGGTTAAACCAGATCTGGTTTTGTATCCTTGTTCTTCCTGAGATTTCTGACGAACCAGAAAGCGGGGACCACGCGGGTAAGTGCTCTTCGCTCTACCAGCTGACTTGGAAATCTCTAGTCTCCCTTCCTCTCCCTAGTGCTGGGCAGCCCTCGGACCCCCGGAGCTAACGTGTCCCCTCTCCCCTTTGTCTCAACTTCACTTCCCGGTTTCTTCTTTTTCCCTCGTTTTAAAAATTAGCTGTTTAAAATGCAGATTCAGCTATTTAGAATGCACGATCCCGTGGTTTTACTGTGTCCACAGAGCTGTGCAACCATCACTACAATATTTTCATCACCCCGGAAGGAAACCCTGTACCCCAGCTGTCATCTCCCAAACCTCCCGTCCCCCTCCGCCCTAGGCCACCACTCATCTGCTTTCTGTTTCTTGATGTGCCTATTCCAGACATTTCACACAAATGTCACCTTTTGTGAATGGCTTTTCGCCCTTGTAGCACAGTGTCTTCAAGCTGTACTCATGTTGTGGTATATATATCAGCACTTGGTTCCTTTTTAGGCCTCCCAAATATTCCATTGCATGGACAGACCACATTTCGTTTACCCATTCACCAGTTGATGGACGTTTGGGTGGTTTCCAGTTTGAGCTGTCATGAGCAAAGCTGCTGTGAAGTTTTTGGGTGGCCATATGTTCTCATTTTTTTCAGTATATACTTAGGAGTAGAATTGCTGTGTCATATGGTAACGCTGTTTAACCTTTTGAGGAATTGCCAAACTGTTTTCGAAAGTGGTCGCACCATTGTACTTTCCCATCAGCAATGCATGGGGGCCCGATTTTTCCACATTCTCATCAACACTTGTTATTATCTGTCTTTTTTATTAAAGCCATCCCAGTGGGTGTGAAGTAGCATCTTCATATGGTTTTGATTTGCATTTCCCTAGTAAATAATGATATTGAGCATTTTTCATGTGTTTATTAGACTTTCATATATCTTCTTTGGGAAGTCTTCTTTCTACTCATATCCTTTGCCCAATTTTTAATTGGGTCATTTATCTTTTTACTATTGAATTAAGAATTCTTTATATATTCTAGGTATGGGTCTTTTTGCAGATATATGATTTATAAATATTTTCTCTCATTCTGTGTGCATTATCTTTTCACTGTATTGAAGGTATCATTTACAACACAAAACTTATTTTAATTTTGATAAATTCTAATACAGCTATAATTTCTTTTGTTGCTTGTGCTTTGGGTATTGTGTCTAAGACACCCTTGCCTAACCCAAGGTCACAAATATTTACTCCTATGTTTTCAGGGTTTTAGAGTTTTAGTTTTTACATTTAGATCTGTGGTCCATGTCGAGTTAGTTTTTGCCTGTGGATATATGTATCCATTTGTCCCAGCAGCACTTGTCGATGACTGTTTGTCCCCATTGAATTGTTGGAGCGTCCTTGTTCAAAGTAAAGTGAAGGGAGGATTTATTTTTGGACTTCTAATTCTATTCCCTTGACCTATATGTGTATCCTCATGCCGGTACCGCACCATCTCGACAACTGTGGCTTTGCAGTGTCTTATCTTCTGATGGAAAAGTTAGGGCAGGAATGGGCAATCTGGACTTTTTTTTTCCCTGGTCTGACCAGAGATTGGGTTCTTCAGATTCCTCTTCAGGCTTTCGGCCACCCTTGATTTCTCCTCATTCATCGTGTTAGTTTAAGTAGGAGATGATATGCAAACTGTCCTGAGACATCCAGTGCTGGGCCGGGCCCTGAGTGTTCTCCTCGCCACATCTGCTCACTGCGTTCAGATTCCAGTAGCGTGGCTCTGGGCTTCCCCAGATGTATAGAATTAAACAGTCAGGTTGTGAAAAGATGTACTGGTTTCTGAAACTCTCTAATTGGTTAAGTTCAGGGTAATACACCTTACTGTACTGTTAAAGGATTTAAAGATCTTTCTGAACGGCTGTGTAAGCAAGCAAGCAAGCAAGTGGTCTGGCAGAGAGCTCTCCCAGGTGGGCTGCAGCATAGCCTTTGAGGCCAGACCTTGCCCTCCCTGGGCCTTCCTCTCCTGGCGGGCACCCGCATCGCTGCTCTGAGAGCATCCATTGGCAGTGTCGTGGTGGTGGAGAAATGGAAGGCGAGCGATCTGCCGGAGAGGTGGAGTTCTGGACAAGGCCGCTTATCATCACTCCACGTTACTGAGCTAAAACGTAAAACGTCCATGTGATATCTGAAATTAGCAACAACCATCCTATAATCATTGCCATTCCTTTCTGTTAGGAATTGTGTGCAGCACAAGCTCATTTGCAGATGATAGTGCCTAGAGCTTACACTAGGTGTATCATAATTTAAGCAAATTTTAATTTCCTGATTTGTGTTGGACATTAAAGAAAATCTCTAGACAGAAACTGTCCTTCATCAAGAGCTTCCCCTCAGGGGCCCTGCACGCAGTGAGGGGCCAGGGACGTGAACTCTCCAGAAGGCGGTGGTGACGGGGTACAGAGCAGGTTGAGGATTCAGTCTGCCCGAATACATTTCTTCACAGTGAATCTGGACAAGCTCCTTAATCTCTCCAAGTCTTAGTTTCTTTGCCTTTAAAATGGTGTTAAGCATAGTATCCACCTCCCAGCATTGTTTACAGGTTGGAATCTTGTGTGAGCCCTTAGTGTTTGCCTGAGCATCTTCTAGCTCACACTCCAGGGCCCTTCTGGCTGCTGTGGCTTCCTTTCCTTCCTTCCTTGCACGCACAAGGGCCTCCTCTAGATGTCAAGGACTTAGCCCAGGCAAGGGTCGACAGGCTTTTCCCGTAAAGAGACAGATTAGTAAATATGTTAGTCTTTGTGACATTGCAAGCCTCGTGGTCTCGGCCACAACCCTCACTCTGCTGTTGTAACATGAAAGCCACAGACCGGTGCCCATGAACGGGTGTGGCGGCATTCCAATAACACTGTGTTTTTCACAGCAGGCGGCAGGTTCGACTTAGCCTGCTGGCAGTGGTGTGCCGACCCCTGGCCTAGCACGGTGCCCAGCACGTCGTGGGCTTTTAATAAATGTCAGCCATCCTCAGAGCTGGGAACTGCCCCTTGACACTGGTTTCCTTGTTTTTAACAGAATGTCGAGGTCCTGGCCAGTCGGAGCACCTCTTCCGAGCAAACCCAGCTGGGGGCTGAGGTGCAGGTGAAGGCTCTGGAGGCAGAGAACGAGAAGCTGCGCAGAAGCCTTGCAGGGCTGGAGCAGAGTGTTGCTCGGCTCCAGAGGCAGGTTGCTGACCTTAAAGACGACGAGGCCAAGGCGAAGGAAGCCCTCAGGAAGTACGAGGTGAGGCTCCTGGGCCCCACACCTGGCCGGGGCAGCTGTCATCCTTCTTTCCTGTGTGAGCGGTTTAGAGGCAGGGAGAGATTTATTGTCATAATTTAGTAGGAAAGGTCAAGGCACTTGTGACTCTGTCTTCTCTGCACACCATTCCTTTTGTTTCTCTACAAGTGGTCTGAATGGGAGCTGAGCTTCTAACGAGGCCTGGGAACAGGGCTGATGAGGTCAAGGGTGGGCAATGCATGAGAAGGCACGGGAATCCCTACTCCCACAGGCATCAGACACACACTCTTCTTTGGACACTGAGCAGAGGCCTCTGCAGTCCTGAAAAGGCCATGAACAGCATCCTCAGGTCCGTGTTCTCTCACGACCAGTCATTCTTTGTTAACACACAGTTGATGGGTTTTAAAGTCCTCTGGTTTGCCAGGTTTCTAGAGGTGCGATGCTGTGTGCCAGAGACAGGTGCTGACGGCAGCTGGCGGGAAAAGAGGGGACGGAGGAAATGCAAAGAGGGATGTGTTCTGCCGGAGGTTATCCGTCAGGATCACCCGGGAGCCTTTTCCAAAACTCTGCGTGCCTGAGTCTATTCAGTACCTGCTCCAGGGGCGAGGCTGGACATTTGTGTTTTCAAAAAACCATCCCAGGCGACGCCGATGTTCACATCATGGCTGACTACAGAAGTGCAGACAGGCACAGACATCCAGGAACACGGCTGTTGTGCGCCTTCTTGGGCCCGTGGCACTGCTGGCTGTGTCAGTGGACGTGTCTGTCACTCCTCTCAGCCCCCTGCCCAGCTTCACGGCCACAGCTCACAGCGGAGCGCACACTGACCCCAGGTTTCCTTGTAGGCGGAGGCTCGGCAATTAGAGGAGGCCCTCGTGCGTGCGAGAAAGGAAGAAAAAGAAGCCACAGCAGCCAGAAGGACCCTGGAGAGCGAGCTAGAAGATGCTCAGGTAAACGCTGAGGGCTGTTGTCTGTATCCCTCACATAGGAATCCCAAGAGCAAAATAGGAGGGACACGCACAGATTGCCATTTGTCCTCACGTGCCAGCTTGCTCCTTCATAATGGTAACCACTCTGACCCCAAAGTAGCCATCTAAGCCAGTGTTCCTTAACAGGAGGACATTTGTAGTATCTGGAGACATTTTTGGTTGTCACAGTTGGAGAGATACTCCTGGCACCCAGTGGGTAAAGGCCAGGATGCTTCTAAACAGTCTACCGTACGAAGCACGGGACAGCTTGGCAGCAGCGAATTATCTGGCCCGAGTGTCAGTTATACAGAGGTTGAAAACTCCTGGTCTAGACATGGAAGAGCTTGACAGCTTTCCAAAGATAAAATATGAATTGTGTTCGAAGGCTGGCAGGATCGGTCCCCAAGGCAGTGTGGAGTCGGCTGTCTGGCAGAAGCCAGTTTTCATTCTCCTCTGGGCAGACGGACTCCAGAGAGTGAGTCCTTGAAGATGGCTTTAAAAGGAGCCGGAGGAAGTTGCTTCCTTGGAACTAGACAGCTATCTCTCTTCAAAATCAGTAGATTCTTAGAAAATTAGATTTTCCCATTTGAAGGCTAGGAAATATGATTGAAGTACATTCTTAAAAAAAAAAGTCTGCACTGAAGTTCAGGTTGACTTTGCACAGTGGCCTCCATGTGATCCAGGTGCATCCTTCCTTCGACCTGCTCTCAGGTTTTAAAGAACTAGCACCAAGCATCCCTCGGGTGAGGTTCTGAGAGGGTGAAAGCCAGTGTGTTTGAGCAGTCATCTGACAGCAGGTTGTTCAAGTTTTCCTTCAGGAACGTGAGGGCAGGAGGGGGAGGAGCACGTGGAAAGTGGTGCGCACTGACCGCAGTCCAGATCTGGATTCGTGAAGGCCCCATGGCAGCCTTCCTGTCCGTGTGCAGCTGTATCTCTCCAGAGTAGTGGTGAGGAGCCTGTGTGCACTAGCATTCACTCGGGTCCCCATAACTCAGGGGCCCTCACCCGCTCCCCCACCCCATCAGCTGTCTCTGCCTTCTTTCTGGCTTTGGACGGAGACCTGGTTTTTGTATACAGTAAAGCCCTGTTTTTTCCTGAGTTTGATGTCTGAGTATCCTTGCTTTAGATTTCTTGCTTTCTCTCCCTCTCCACCCTCTCTCTCTCCCTCCCTCTCTTCTTCCCACCCTCCCATCCATCCATCCATCCATCCATCCATTCATCTATCCATCCATTTATCCTATCCATGAAGTCTTTGTTACAAACTCCTGTTCAGTTGATTTTGAGTGGATGGCAGTTTCACTGTGCTGCTGCGTAAGGTCTGTGATGACTACAGCCCAGCCGTCAACAAGTGGGATTTAAGTCCAAGCTAGTTGTGGACACCGAGGGAGAAGAAACATTTGTATTCTACAGCAACAAAAATCTGCACCTTCCTGTCACGTGTGCACAGGGGGCAGCTGTCACCGGCCCTCAGTCTTCATCGTCCTTTGGTCGAACCAGAAAGTTTCACACACAAGGAAGTAGTTCACCGGCTGTGAACCAGGCTCACAGTTAATTCAGGGGAGAGAACAGGTGATGGCCTCGAGGCCCAAAGGTCTCAGTGTAACCCCTGCCCACCCCCACCTCTGGATCTCTGCCCCTGCCTTGGACATTACCCTCACGTGCAACTTTTGTTCGAGCCTGTTTTCCCGGGGTGTTGAGATGGCGAGAGTGCTCTGTGTGCCGTGCAGCCATTTTAACACAATCAGTAGGAATTTTCAAAGGACATCCGAATGATCTGGTCCCAAAAATTTCTGTGAGAAGTGTACCATCACCCTAAATTACTTCATTTTCTCCAAAATCTGGAAGCAGATAGGAAGCTCCTTCAGTTTGATGCCTCTGTGTGCCTGTCCCCCTCCCCAAAGCTGGCTCCTGAAAGGGTCTTGACCCTGAGAGGAAGAGAGAAGAATGCTTGCTCCCCCCACACATGCGTGTTACATTTCAAAACCTTTTTGCCCTCGCAATCTGCTGCATCCTCCTGTATGATACATATATTTCTCTACAGGAGCTGGATACCATGTGAACTTAGGTCTGACTTATAATGACTCACTCAGAAAGTGGCAGAGGGTCCTAAAGATGTCATTTTTGACTTGCTGGACTCCTGCCCCATGGTCTGGGATCGTGCTGCTCTGTAGAGCGACTTGAGAGCTTCATTCAAGGTGGAAATGTCTATGATTCCCTTGAGAATGGCCTCTGCAGATGGGGGAGTGAAGAAGCCTTTTCTGGTGTAGCCAGTTTTTCCCTCAGAGAGGGTTAAGGGTTTATACTCTGCATACCTTCAGCTCCCTGCACTGGACTTCAGAATTAAAAAATGCCAGTGCTTCCATGGTTATTGTGTGGCAAGGGTCTGGGAAGACCAGCTTCCTTCTGATTAGCCTCTCATTCCTTAAGCCCTTGGGTTCACCTGCCACTTGGTTATTATTAATATGAACAAATCAGGGTATTACTAAGTCATGTAGTAAAAGGCTCTGCCTTCATTGACAGATAATGGTCCCCAAGCTCAAGGGCACTTACTTATACATCTGCCAACTTTGTGTTTTGGATTTTCCACATTGATAAATTTCCCCAAGTTTTGATTCCAGTATGAGTCAATGGGCTTGTATTTCTGGTCTTGGAAATACAGTCACTGTAGCTATAGAGCACTTCATGCCTAACTCCTAAATGCAAAATTGCCAACTTTGCTTATTTTCACGTGAATCTGGGACATGTTTTCTCAGCAGTGATATATTAGAACATATTTCTTGAATAATCAAAGAGGAAGAATATTGTGCTGAACAACATTTCTGAACTTTAGAGCACATTAGAATTACTGGGGTAACTTTCAAGTGCAAGTTTGTGGGCCCCACTCCAAGAAAAAATGGTGGATTCCATAAGAAATGGCTAGAATCTACACTTTATGGAGTACTCCCTGCTTGCTTGGTGATTCTGATATAAGAAGTATTGAGACCACTTTAGGGGATAGATATTAATTTTCAACCGGGGAGTTTTTATCGTATGCCTAACAATGAGTCTGGGCTGCAAGACTTGCCCATACAGAAAATCTATGCCTTGCCTTGAGAGATCTTACTACCCTGCAACAGAGACAGTCATGCAAGAAATATTTTAAAAATAATTTAGCCCAAACTGTTCTTCCAGGAAAATATGTGTGTGTGTGTTGAGGGGTGGGGGGGGGGTTGCTGGCCAGGCCCCAGCTGGAGTGGGTGCATCTTGGTCTCCAGGCACAGGAGAGCAGAGCTGGGTGGCAGCCCTACCCGAGCCAAGGGTGCAGTCGAAATGCACACACCACATGGAGGCTGCGTGGAGCTGGGGCTGCTTGTCTGCTGGCCTGGAGCCCCTGGGGTTGGGACTCAGGAGGAAGAAAAAGACAGGCTGGGGCAGGGGTCGGGTTGGGTCCTGAAGGCTCTTGCATTTGTTTTTCAAGAACTTACATTTTGAGATGCATGTGTCTGAGGGTTTTCTCCCACACAATAGAACCATACATCACTTACCTTAGCCTGTGTACATCCCTTTGCCCCCAGTACTGCTTATTCAGCCACAGACAAATCCCAGGCATTGACCCTCTCTCTGGGGTGTGCCCAGCTGTGCTGTGGTGGGAAGGACTCCTGCCAGTTGTCCCACACTGAACTTCTGATTACCTCTCTTTAGCACCTTTTCTTCACCCAACCACTTTTGTTGACTTTGGTTCCCCACAGCCATTAACTCGAGCAGCAGCTCAGCTGGCTTGGCTGGATTTTGCATGCTGTCAGAGCCAGAGGGGCAACAAAGGCCTCCACAGGTGGTACTTTGGCCCCAGGTCAGGTGGTTGGCTGGAGCTGTTCACAGGCCCTGCAAACCAGGAGTGCCTGAAGTGATTTGGGAGTGTTTTCAAGATGCCTGAGTTATTGCATGTGTGACAGAAACTTGTAGGTTGTTAAGCACTGTAAACATCAAAACTGTTCTCCGCATGCAGTCCCTGCAGCAGGGCACAGACTGAGCAGGTCTGAAGCAGTGTCTGCACTGACCTGCATTCAGCCCTCAGCCCCTCACAGCACTGTCCAGGTGACCAGCCCGCATCTGGGTCCTGCTGCCCCTTTTCTGAGCTGTGCCGCTTCTCGACATCTCAGCACCCAGCCATTTAAAGAAGCTACTGTAACCATCTTTAAGATATTTGAGGATCTTGTTAGAAAATTGCATGTTTTTTACATAAAGGGCTTCGTTCTGTGCGAAGGTGTGAGATGAGAGCTCCAGAGAAGCCAAGGGAAATTATCACCCCAGAGATGGTTGCATTTCATAGTAACTACTAGCATTTGGTGCTGATTCACTCAATAACCATTCATAGGCACTTTTTCTGACTGGAGTCTCTTCCATTTAACACCTCTGCTCATCAAGTTCATCAGCCTGTGGACTGCCAAGTTCTTTTTCTTCTGCGTGTGAGTCCAACCCACGCATTCTCCCTGTGTCCAAGTGGACTCTTGGCCTGTGGACAGCGTGCTCTGTCTTTATAAGTTAATTTTTAGTTGTGTTTTTTAATCCTCATCCAATGATATATTTACTGATTTTTTTTAGAGATAGATGAAGGAAGAGAGAGAAAGAAAGAGAGAGGGTGTCAGGGGAGAGAGACAGAGACATGAATTTGTTGCCTCTCATACGCACCCCAACCAGGAATCAAACCCATAATCTAGGTACGTGCCCTGACCAGGATCGAACCTGCAACCTTTTGGTGTGTGGGACAACGGAGCCACCCAGCCAGGGCCATTTTTGGCTGTTTCTACTGTAGTGATTATCCGCACAGCAGAGCGAATTCAAGAACATCAGGTACAGTGCTATATGTCACAGGATGTAAAGCTGCTGTGTAGGTTTAGGTTAGTCTCCTGTGTAACTTCACCTTGGTTTTCAAGCATGAGCAACCAGTGTTTTGGACACTAGCTGAATTGCCACCCCCAGCAGCCTCAGCTGTTTTGCAGCCTCTGGCTGCCTCTATATGTTTGTAGCTAAGTTAGCTTGGTCCCTGAATTTCAGAAGCAGCAATGTCCTTGTGTCTCTGTGATGGCTTTATTTTGATACTTTTCCTTACCGCCAATGTGACAGGTCTGATTGCTTTGTGGTGCAGTTATGAGACTCCCTCTGCCACTTGTTCTTGTAGCTGACCTGGTGGGTAGATGACAAGCACTATCCTTTCCCTGCCATCTGCAGAGAAATCTGAGTCGGGCCACCCAGGAGCAGAAGCAGTTGTCTGAGAAGCTAAAAGATGAGACCGAGCAGAGGGAGCAGTTAAGGAGACTGAAGAATGAAATGGAGAATGAGCGGTGGCACCTAGACAAGACCATTGAGAAACTGCAGAAGGAGGTGAGGCAGCAGGATGAGGTGAGAGAGTGGGTGCGGGGGGGGGGGGGAGGCGGCAGTGTGGGGAGGAGAGGGTGTGGGCACACCCCAGTGTTGGGACCCAGCCCCCTCTGAGGGCCTGATGAAAGCTAAGGAAACCTGCAGTTAGCTGTAAGCACAAATATGTCAGGGACCTGCAGATATCCTAAAACAGCTCTGAGGACTCATGGGGAATCCCAGGTACAGAGAAATTGTTCTAGAATATGCCAGTACCCTTTGGATTCTGGGCCTAATGTCTGTTTCCCAGTTAGGAGTGACTAAACCTCCATAGCCCATGACGAGGCCCTTTGCAAAATTTTGGGGAGGGTGTAGAAGAATGAAGAGGAGGCATGATCTGTGTTTGGGTGGGACCCAAACCTAGCTCCCCAGTTCCAGATGGAGCATTACAGGGTGGGCTCACACCCGAGTCACTTCTTCCAGATGGCTGACATTGTCGAGGTGTCCCGCATATCAACGCTGGAGCTCCAGAACCAGCTGGATGAATACAAGGAGAAAAATCGCAGGGAGCTTGCAGAAATGCAAAGGCAGTTGAAGGAGAAGACCCTAGAGGCAGAGAAGGCCCGTCTGACTGCGGCAAAAATGCAGGAGGAGGTAATGCCTGGCCAGACCAGTTCCTGCTTTCCCCTTTATTCGGAGAATCCTTCCAGGCTGTGAAACTTCTAGGAGAGACTTGGGGTAGACTCTAAAGACAACATTTGTGCTTGATTCCTCAGTCTTAACCCTCTGGGTGGTTACACAGGGCAAATGACATCCTAACACACAATGAACCCCTAGCCTTTGAGGTGAAATTGGTAAAACTGTAACTTGACCATATTTTTCATTAAGCCAAGACTTTCTACCTAAAAAGTTTAACTACCATTTATGGAGCACCAGTGGTGTTCCCAGCTGTGTCCAAATCATCGAACAGGGATTATAGTAACTGTGGTGGGGTTCCCCCCCCCATTTGTTTAGAAAATACGGACTTTTATTGGAGTGGGAATGGTAGACAAGTTTCAGAACAATGATGGAGACAAAAAGAAATCTTCAGGAATTTAAGAGTATTGAAATTATTAAAACATAGAGCAAAGTAGCCCAAATTTTAGCTCCCTTCAGTCTTCACTTCTGAAGAACTGAGAGTAAATAAAGGGAATGGTTTTGATTATTTTAATGGAAAACTGAAGGCTCTAAAATGCAAATACATGAGCGCTGATTTCTAGCTATGCTTCTTGCCAGCTGGTTGACCTTGAGCACATTACCCCAATTTTCTGAGCATCTGTTTCTGCCTCTTTAAAAATATACAAAATAATAATGATTTAATAATTGAATGAGAGAACATGTGGACCTGTGTAGCAGAGGGTCTGTGTATCCTGGATACTAATGTTGTTGTTATTATTTTTTTATTCTAAGTCTTAATTTTTTTCATAAGCAGTGCCAAGATCACTAAGATTCCACAGGAAAACAAGTTTTTCTTTAAAAAACAAACTTTTAATATCTTTGATGATCAAAGAAAAGTCACCCATGAGTCAGTGTCAAAAGTGTGTGGAAGAACAATGGATGTTTATCACAGACTTCAAGAACACTTCTGAAAGGATCCCAGTAACAGACCCCCTCTTGCGTAGGGTCATGTGATACAGGAATGCAAGTAAAAACTGAAATGAGCTTATTGACATCACCGTTCTCTTTGGCATTAAACACACATTTTCATTTCTCCGGCAGATGGGCAGGGGGTGCAGATATTTGCCAGGATCCCAACAAACACCTGGGGTGTGGTGTTGATCTTAGAAAATCATGGTGCCAGAGTGACCCCTGCAGACAGTTCCTGTTGCTTTTTCTCTGATGCTTATTCTGCTAGAATCTTCAGATTGGAAGGAACCTTCATGATCTTAGTTAGATAAGGAAACTGAGATCCAGAGAGGTTAGTTAAGGCCAGATGGAGGCCGGCGATGTCTATAAAGAAGCACTAACTCCAAAATAGATTTTCTGAGTGGTAAAGCCCTGCGGGACACTGTTTCCATTTGAATGGTACTAGTGGACACCTCATCATTCTACAAGGAAATGGCAGATACCCCCCTGGACCAAGCCGCTGAAGTCATGGGATTGTGTAAGACAAAATCAAATTAACAAGTCAGGATCACTCAGGACCCTTGAAAAACACAAGGTCAACTCAGTTCACTGCACCCCCCCCCCCCCCATCCTAAGCAAAAAAAATAAAAAGAGCTGCAGTCCCCCCTAAGGGCTGTCACACTCTCCTTTTTTGCTTTCAGGGAAATAGACATTTTACCTGTTTTGTCTTTGGTGTGGAGCTAGGAAAGTTCTGATGTAGATAATCTTTAGAGAATTTAAGACTTGGAAGTTATTGTTGTTCAGTTAATCTTCTAAATATCATTTAGCAAAGGGCAGTTTTAACTACATAAAGGCAGCACAAGAAGCTTCAAAAGTTGTTTGTTGACTTGTGGTTCCAGACAGCTGTGCTGCTGTGCACACCTTGCCCCAGCCCTTGAGAGATGTCCCGGGACTCCGGGGCACCGCGGGAAGGCAGGGATGTGTGGGCGGTGGGGCCGAGGGCCATGCGGGACATCGGGGAGGGTGCCAACAAGGAAATGCAGGCTATCTTTTTACCAGTCAGTCTTTCTGACTCTCAAACCTGTGTTCTTTTCTGGTATGACTTCATCTGATTCTCATAACAGCTCTATAAATTAGGTTTTAAAATTATCCCAGGATAGCAAATTAAGAAACTGAGAGATGGGGGAGATTTCGAGTGTTCTGAGGTGCAGTGCACCCTTTCTGTATCCAGTGCCTGCGCCATCGTCCTTTCTTCATGGGCTGATGTTCCCTCAGTGCTTCCACTCACAGTTTCATTTCCTAGTCGTCTTTGCACTCGGTTGCCACCCAGACCAGACTAGGGTTTTATCGGGAGACGTCTCCTTCCGGGCTATGCTGTTTTCATAGGAATGTCAGCTGATGCCATTCCGTTAGCCACCAAGAAAGGAACACATTTCTCAAAGTTTTCCCACTGGTCTTCCTAAGCCAGTCTAACCTGTTGAGTCCCTCTGCACCCCTAAGACCATCTTTGGGGCTTTCCCAACTTTTCTGTGAAAATCACTCTCAAGCGATGGTCATAGAGTTTGACACTTAACTCTCACATACTCCCTGAAGGAAATAGCCTGGTGTAGTCTGTTCCTAAGACTGTGCTTGCAGCCTTCTCCTGGAGCCTAGGAAGTTGAGAACAAACAGACAGCCTTGGACTTCACCAAATCTGTCCACACAGATGTTTCAGGAGAACCCAGTGTGTGCAGCGGTGGCGGAGCACAGGAGGGACCATCCCTAGTGCATCAAGCTCTTTAGTTTGATGCAGCCTTCAAAGCTGTTAGTTCAGTGCCACCTCGTGGATGAAAAGAGCACTGTCGGTTATGACCGTTGATGACATGATTTTCTTCTAGGGAGCAGTGGTTTTCACCTAATGGGCATGTTTATATTATTAGATTTCATGCCTGCAGGTTGCTTTGGGGTCATTAACTTGGTTTTTATTTTCCCTAACTTTAAATGCCTGTTGAGGTGATGCTGGTCCAGGTGGGCAATTAGTCAGTTATACCCTGGGAAACACTTACCTAGTTCAGTGGCTTTCAGTGTTTCCGATCATGACCTAAGGTAAGAAGTACCTCTTGCACTGTAGCTCAGTGATACATACATTCCTACAATTAGATGGGTGCATTATTTCCTTATACTCTGAGTATTTTTTAAAAATCTTCACCCAAAGACATATTTATTGGTTCCAGAGAGAGACCACAGTGATCGGTTGTGTCCCATATGAGCCCTGATCAGGGGTTGAACCCACAGCCTTTCAGTTTATGGGATGATGCCTCAACCAACTGAGCCACACTGGCCAGGGCCTAAGTATTTTTTTTTAGATTTATAACCCAATGGGTTGCCTCCTATAGCTGGAAACCCCCCTCTTTTATAAATGAGTAAACTGAAGCCCTGAGGGCAGTGGCACTTTCTCAGGTCCTCTGATCTCCAGTGGCAAGGGTCTCCTCGAGCTCTGCCTGCACACTGTCCATCAAGGTCAATGTGTTCCCAATGTGTCCAGCTAAGCACTCCAACCCCTTCTTGTTCTAGATGCGCCTGATGGAGGAAGAGCTGCGGGACTACCAGAGAGCTCAGGATGAGGCACTCACGAAGAGGCAGCTTCTGGAGCAGACGCTGAAGGACCTGGAGTACGAGCTGGAGGCCAAGAGTCACCTCAAAGATGACCGCAGCCGACTGGTCAAGCAGATGGAGGTGTGTGGGTCATATGGGCAGCCCCAGGGCCTGGGGAGAGTGAGTGGGGACACAAGGGAAGCAAGCTTTCTGCTCAGACCTCAGCCTCTGGGGACCCTTCAATTAGGAAGGTCATGTTTTGATTTGGGGGAACTGGTAGTTCAGAGATTCCTAGGACACCCATGCTGGAGGAGTGATGGAAGTAATTTAGCGGGTGTCCTCATTGCCTTGAAGAGGAAACAAAACACAAACCCAAAGAAGTTAGGTGTGCTTACCTAAGAGCACATCGATAGTTCATGTTCTATGTGCTGCTTTGGGCCATGCATTTGACTCTGAAGGAGACAAGACTGCTGCAGATCGGGACGGGCTGAGCTGTGCCCGTGTCCAAACTGCCAACGCCTAGGGATACATGGCACTCGTTTGCCCTGCCACATGCTCCGTTGCTATTTGCTGATTTTGACCCATTTTCCCCTACAGATGGCCCAGCTTTGCCAAAGCTAGCAGCAGACTGGCTCAATTCACTTTGGATATACAGTGTAAACATGGTCCATGAGAATATCTCAGAAGGTGCTCGATGGAGCCACCAGCTGGGGGTGATTTGTTCACAAGATGAAAAAAACACAACACGTTAGAAAAGTGAAGCATGTAATAGAATCTAAGCATGAACAGCCCACCGAGAATGACAGGAAGAGCCTGAACATCAATCCCCTTGAACTTATGGAAAAGAATAATGTTCAAGAATAAAACCAACCCTGAACCAAAAAACCCTTGATTCTCTCACCACCCCCAACACACCCCACATCCCAGTGGAATTTAGAGACGGAGAAAGAGGCCCGAAAATCAGCCTCGGACCTATGCGAGAAGTTAAAATTGTCAAGGTTTCGATAAAGGGCAGACAGTGCTCAAGGCCAGGAAGACATAGCTTAAATTTAAAACAATGGAATTCCTGATTCAACTTTGCAAATAAAAATAACGTTTAAAACCTCCAGGGGACTTAGTAGCATTCTCTAGGGAGTGATGTCTCAGCTGTTAAAGATTTCATTGGATGGGCGCTTTTTAGAGGTTATTAGGGTAAGCCGGTTACAGTTTTCTAGGGTTGCTGTATTTTTTGCTAATGTGCTGGCTCTGATCTTGTTAGGGGAGGTCATTTTAAGGCAAGTTAAATTCAACCCATTTAACTAGGAAGTAATTATTCTAGGACCCAAACAATTTGGTTCAAAGCAAGCTTAAGCCTTGCTAGGCAGTGGCGCAGGAGCCTCTGGGGTGATGACCCGTGGCCTGGCCCCTGAGTGCGCTGGCTGGGTTGTGGGCAGCACACATTGTAGGCAGGAAGAGAGCCCTGTGAAGAGGTGCTTTAGCTGAACATTGGCTTGTCAGGTCATCTCCTTCTAGAATATTCTGACTAATAAGAACATTTCCTTTTGCCAACTCCCGGTGTGGAAGCAGTGGCATAACTAACTTTCATTTGCCCCTCTGCAACATTTTAGATAGTTCTTCACTAATTACAAAATGAGCGGCTCTCCAGGCCCCACCCCTGTGCAGCTCACTGCTGGGGCATCTCCTCCCCTAAGAGGCAGCTGGCACAACTGTCTTGCTGTGACTCATATCTTGCCTGCTCCTTTACTCGCATTTAAATTAATTCTCAGGACTCAAGAGCTCTCTCAGCCATGAGCGTTTTCTGTAAACTGAGAAACTCGGGTGGCTGTCTTATGTCAGTGTGGCACCTGTGGGTCTGTGGTTTCTGACTGAGTGAAGCTGGCCTCGGATGAGTTGGGGAGCACTGAACAAACAGGAGACAGGAGACCTGGTGCAGGACCCAGCTGTCTGTCCTGCTCTGGACTTGGGCTTGCGGCTACTGGGGGAGAGCTTTCAGGTCCCCTATAGCTTCAGTCAGTAACAGGGAAGGCATTCACATACATTTAGGCATTCACGTGAGTTCTGTGACTTTTCTTTTTGGCACTTACAGAGGCGTCCACAGCTTGTCAGTCAATGGTGATGATGGCAGAGACAATATTTATGTGCAGATGCCTCAGACTCCTGTTTAAAAAACTCACAATGCTGATTGCTTTTGTGTGTGTGTGGCTCTGAGTTAACCCAGACATGTGACAGATTGGCTGGTGACAGTACAAACACATGCACAGAACCCACATCCCACAGTCCCAGGTGCGGTGGTTTATGTTAGAAGCCTCTTTTGATTCATACACAAAGCTACTTTGCAGCTCTTTTCTCCTAATGCTCAATGATGTTACATTAGGAGCCAGCAAGAAAGGGAGAAATTATGCTTCTTCTGTGGTGGTTGGTTTAACAGAATGGGCCGATACTGCATCTGTGTTATTCTGATGTGGGTTTGGGACTGTACAGAGCTGAGTGAGGTTCCTTAGAAGAAAGAGGCAGTTGCAACAGACTGTTAGAGACCTGACTCATGCAGGGCTCTTGGAAACCCTGAGCAGGAAGAAGGCAAAATATTGTCCCGAGCTTGGAGCTTTTAGAGAAATGTACCTTGGTGATATCTCATTTCCCTCATGTAACTTAGATACCTTAGGCTAAGATAGATCTTAGTAGTTTTTGGTTCGTTCATAAGGGGGAAAAAAGAAAGAAGCATGCTAAACTATTCTCAGTGCTTATGTTAGGGTTTGGGGTAATGTTTTTCTCCTTTAATGTATTTCCTAAATACATAATTACATTTTACATTATGAAAGCAATAAAACACTGTTTTAGAGGCATCTGCTTTGGACAGTATGAGAAATAGACACAGCCCTTCCCAAACTGAAATGACGCTCTGCTCTGATGTGCCCTTGGGGTTTCGCTCCACAGGAAAGGCCTCCCTCCAAACCCAGGCTGGTGTAAGTGACCCAGGCCATGTTGTGTCTTGTTTCTTAGGACAAGGTGTCTCAAATGGAGATTGAACTGGAGGAAGAAAGAAATAACTCGGATTTGCTATCTGAGAGGATCACTCGGAGCAGGGAACAGGTACTGTACAGAGTGGGACGGTAAGTGGATTGTCCTGCCAGAAAGAGGAGATTCGAGAGGTTAAACCTGCAGCTAGAGGAGGGAAGAGACTCCATGCCTTACGGAGGTGATGGAAGATTGCCAAGTCCTCACCATAGCAAGCCTACAGGAGGGAGATGCAGTATGTCATGTAAGCCGTCAAGTGGAAGTTTCCTGAGTGGTTATGGATAACAATCTGTTAGCCATAATAGGCAAAGCTCTTTTAAACCTGAGTTTCTAGGAATCATTAGTTCAGCAAACAACTGTGTGAAATTTGGTATCTAGCACTACATTAGTGCAATGGACAGTAAATGGTACGATGCAGTCTTTTACTCTAAGGACCTCACACGCTAATTAGCACGTAGACCTATGAGGCACTCACAGGACAGTAACAGTACCTTCCAAGTGAATGCCTTTTGCGGTTTTGAGAGGAGTTTCACTCACATTTGATTCTTGTGGCAACACTGGGGGGCAGCTGGCAACAGTTCACCCTGCACTCATACTGTAGACAATGGAACTAATTTTCCAAACTAGACTTAGTATAATTGCAAGGTTTTTAGATTTTTTCCATTTTTAATTAAGGAAAAGTGCAGAGTGGTTAAGTCATATCCTAGAGATAGAGTATCATGTCACTAGAAACCAGTGGCCGTGAGCCCACCGCATGCCCGAACCACCTGGGAGATAACACAGGCAAACATTATGGGGCGAGGACTCAGAACACTCAGTGGCGGTTCTGAAGAGAACTTACATTCACCAGTCTCAGCCTTCGTTTACATGCTACCTCAGGCACCTGTAGTAACTTCCGATGGGAGGTACTATGTTTTGCCATGTATAACACACACTTTTTTTTTGCCAGAATTTGTGAGGGGAAAATAAGGATGTGCATTGTACATGGGTAGTACTAATTCTGTCTCTATATTACATGTTTTTAATTCTTTTATTTACGCTTATGTGTTAAAAGTGTGACTAGAAAACAGTAACAGTATTTGAATGCAAAATAATACCCTGGAATATGATAATTGATTTTGTTTCTAAATATAAATAAATAAAAAATTGAATTAAAAAATTAAAACAAAAGATTTTTTCCTGAAATTTTGGGTCAAAGACGTGGACGTGCATTGTACACAGAGTGCATCACACATGGCAAAATACGGTACCTTTGATGACAGCTTAGTTGAGTGTCTTGCTCCTGAAAATGGTGCCAGAGAAACTGGACATAGACATTTAGAAACCTCTTCTCTTGATTTGCTTTGGGCACTTTTTTCTTTTTAAATATATATATTTTTGTTGTTCAATTACAGCTACTGCCTTTCCCCCCCATTACTCTCCCTTGCCCTACCCACCCCCCACCTTCCACATTCAATTCACTGCCCCGTCATCGGTGTCCATTGGTCCTTTATTCATGTTCCTTGGCCCTTCCCCTTCTTTCCCTCGTTATTTCCCTCCCGGCCCCCCTCCCCCGTCACTGTTAGTTTGTTCTATATTTCCATGTCTCTGGTTTTATTTTGCTTGCTTGTTTGTTTTGTTGATTAGGTTCCACTTATAGATGAGATCATATGGTATTTGTCTTTCACCACCTGCCTTATTTCACTGAGCATAATGCTCTCCAGTTCCATCCATGCTGTCACAAAGGGTAGGAGCTCCTTCTTTCTGCGGTGTAGTATTCCCTTGTGTAAATGTACCATAGTTTTTGGACCCACTCATTCACTGATGGTCAGTTAGACTGTTTCCAGTACTTGGCTATTGTAAATATGCAGCACTTTCTTAATTAAACAATGCAAATAAAACCTAAAGGTCTTGGGTGATGCTGAGTAATATTTAGGAAATTATGTGTATAAGGGATTGACATTAAAAAAACCTGAAATACAAATTAATTTGGGCAAGATCTTCCCTATCAAAAGAGGCACTTTGCTCTGGCCACTCTTACACTTTTTCACATCACCACCTTCCCCCCATCTCAGGGTGACCAAAAACTGGAGGTTCCAGTGCTCAGGGACAGTGGCATCTGAGATGGTAACCTCTATGCAGAGTGGAAGGAGAATCATGGGCTTCTTTTGCATCTGCCATTGTTTGCCTGTTGACCGACGGGTTCTTTGCAAACTGGTGAGATAGTCGTGCTGCTTTGCCCCTGAGGGTGAAACAAGTTCCAACAGGAGTCCCCATCCACCCTCTCTGCTGAGCTCGGTTAGGTCAACATGTTCCAGTGCTGGGCCAATAGTGTTCCTCCAGAGGGTGGCCATCCATCCAGCCAGAGCTGCAAAAGTTTAGAGAATGACCTTTATGGAGACCTGAAGTCCAGGTGGAGAGTCCAGCTGTGACCTTGGAGCCCTATTCTAGGTTCTTACAAAAGCCTGCATATTCTAAGTTCTCTCACTGGTATAAAAGCTGTTTTGTTATCCAGCCTGGCTAAGGAGCCACATTACCACAGGGCATTTTGGGATCTGCTAAGCATTTATAATGAGAGAAGAAGTGGCCATAAATTTGTTTTGCTAATGCTTCTTGTGACTTATGCAAAGAGGGGGTGGTGGGAAAGAATCAATAACCAGGCAGTTAAAACAGACTTCCAGTCCCATGTTTCACACCCCCAAAAAGCCACAAATTGACCCAGGAGGTGGTTGCCTCCCTTGGTTCAGCTGATGGCCTCACACTGAGAAATTGATCTCTTGTTACCCCCAAGTTGCTGGCGTCCTGGGGAATAGAACTGTTCCCCGTGATGTGGTCATGGTTGAAGATATTTTCACTGAGCCAAGAACTTGAAGTAAGCCCAGGGAGGAAGTTACAGGAACTAACTTGCAAAACTGGAAAGAGCACGGGGCTGCAAGTCGGTATTTGTCAAGGAGATTTCTGAAGGTTTTTCTGAACTCTAACATTGAAAGGCTGTGAGAAGATTTTGTAAAACCCAAAGTGTCTGAGTCACCCTTTAGTTCCCCTGTTTTCTCCTTGCATCTGAGTTCTGTGCCTGAAAAGATGAGTTTCACTAAGTTTCTAGCCTTTTTACCCTAATAGCTCTCCTTCCTCTTCCATTTTCTCTCTTCTCACTGCTCTCTCTGAGGTCGGGAGGGTAAAGGAAGCCCAGTATCTGTTGTAAGTGGAGAGATGGAGCATCTTGTTCAAACTTATGCAGGAATTGCTAAAACAACAACAAGACCAAACCCCTGAGATGCGGTGATGCCGCCTGACTGAGGGCTCAGGGCCCCTCCTCTGGCTCGTGGCCCCGGGTCTGTGAGGACAGATAGAAATGGAGTGACCAAACACCTGCCTCAAAGAAAGCGTTTCATTCTTATTCAAAGTCAAAGTCAATGTGAGACTTATGTCCTACTCCTTAACATAAAGACTCTGAGGAGAGGGCCCTGGGTGTAGACAGCTGGGCCCTGAGTTTGAAGCTGCTTGAGTCCACTTAGGTTAACTCTTAGGGCCGTGTGCCTGCGGCCTTCCTGCCAGAATCAGAGAAAAGGGAAACTTCCAAGCCTAAGGCCCCTTCTCTGCTCCCTCAAATGCTGACCTATGACCTTAACAGGACATGTTTCCTATGGAGCAGGAAGTGCTGCCCATCTGTTATTTCCAGCCTGATTTCTGTCATCGGCCCTGGCTGCTCAGCAAACTGCCACTGGGCACTGAGAAGGGAAGATGTTGGGAATTTTATTTTTTGACTCTTGGTTTCTTTACATTTAAAAGTAAAAGTTCATGGTTCTACTTAAATTCTACATTCTCACAAGCTCTTCTTCCTGAATCTTTACTTTCCCCAAACACCCATCCTTTTTCCTAGTCTTAGTGATTGGGCTCCCATGAAAAAGCTAGAAAAAAAGGCTTTCCAACACTGTTGGCAAATGGCCAGCCTCTTTCACAAAATCTTAGATCCAGCAAAGACCTCTGTGCTTGTCTAGCCAGACCTCTTGTGCAGTGGGGGAGAGGCCGGAGGCCCCCCGACACCACGGTCTGTCTGGCCAGGTCCCACAGCCAGTTAGTTGCAGAGCCGGCTGGGGTCTCCGGATGGACGCCCAAGCCAGTGTTTTATCTACCAGGGCCTAAAAGTGTGACAGGCACCTGCTGTGTGCCGACCACTGCAGCAAAGCTGTGAAGTGGTCAAAAGTGGGGCCTGTCCTTGAGGTTCTGGGGTTTGTTGGAAGAGATGGAGCATGCCTGAAAAAGGGCAAGTAACAAGAAAAAGCAGCAGATACTAAATGCCAAGTGAAGGACTTGGGTGTCTAATGAGGGAAAGACCCTCATAACTGTGGAAGAGTTCTGAGAGGAAGGTGGACTTGGTGCTCGCTTTGAAGAAAGGGTAAGATTTAGACAAACGAAGAGGAGTGGGAATTGAATCCCAGAAAGAACGAATGGTGGGAACCAGGTCTGGGAGGCATGACATGTACGGTGTTTTGAGCGGCAATGAGCAGACTGCTGTGGCCTGATCAGGGTTCTGGCGTCATTTGGGGAGTAATAGGAGGCCGGGTGAGAGTTTTGAATGGACTCTATCCTGGCAGTGCTGGGGAGCCACAGGTTATTGAACAGAACAGGGAGGCGTACACGGTGGTCTGCACGGTGAATGAAGCCGGGGTGGGGTGAGCTCAGGAGAAGGGGAGGCCTGGGGGAAGCCTCAGCTGGGCTGTTGTTCCCAGGCACAGACGACAGGAAAGGCAGTGTGCGATCAAACATTCTGCCCCTTTCACATCTTTTTTCTCTTAATCGTGTGTACATCTGATGCTCAGTAGATGCTGGCCACATTGTTTGTGAATTCCCAGCCTTTCTAAGGCCATTGTTTCCCGTGTGTGCTCAGGATATTCTTGTTCACACTGATGGATTCAGGGAATCCTAATTGAGAGACACGTTTTTCAAACTTTTGGATGCTTGGGTTTTGTTTTCAAATCTGACTAGTATGAAGAAGAAGGGATGGGTGTGGATTTGATGAAATGATTTCTTTTATAAAAGTGAGGAGGATTTGTTTTTTCATCCAAATATAGTTTTGCCTTATATGGGGGGTTTCT